ACGACAAGATGAAAGTTTTATAAAGCAAATTAATCGACCAATGGGCCGAGTAAAAGCTAGCAACGATTGTGAGATGCTCATTTCCCGAAAACCGACGGGATAGGCGATTTTTTATTCGATTCTGGAATTCGGTTTCTATAAAACTTACTCCACCTCATCATATTACCAGAAACAATATTGTTTCACAAGATAGCATGTACTTGATTTAGGTTCATAAGGCCGATTTTTGATTCATTGCATCATTCATGTCTCTTTCCTGCTAAAATTCACTATTTTTATCACGAATTTCCCAATAAAAAACTATACAACAATAAGCTATACACCCTATTAAATTATCAAATTTCATACCTCACCTTCCTCCGGCCAACTGGCCGGGGCCTACACTAGTACTTATAAGAGCATCTCCAATGATGCAAATGGAGGGAATTGCAAGTTGAGGTGACAGCCATGTGCAATTGAAAAAGTGGATGGCATTGATGCAAGACCACTTTCAAGGGATGAAAATTTGCACACCATGAAAATCTGACATGCAATTGCAAGTGGGTCCTTTGTTTGTTTTTGTTTTTCTTTCTTCTTTTCCCAACCATTTGTGTGGTATTAAAATGTAAGTGGGTTTCTACCAAAAAAAAAAATTGTAAGTGGGAGAAGTGCAATTGTATTGGAATGGCATTGATGTAGCTAGTATGAAATTGATGAGTGAAGTAATTGCTAGAGTTGCTTAGGTGGCAGTAGGGACCACACTTGAAAGTGAAGAAAGATTGCATTATTGGAGATGCTCTAAAGATTATGGAGATCCACTCCCACATTTAACTGATAACTCATGAGTGAAGAAGGGAGTCAGTCACCCTACCTCCTCATATGTTTTGACTGGATGAAAAGGGTTTGACCCCACCACCTTATAGAATTTTGGTGCCTCCTTGAAGTTCTTTGGGTGGTTTGCCTATTCCTGTCTCACTCACTTCTGGATATGATTTTTTTTAAGGATATATAGGACCTCACCCGACCTCTTGAATGAATTTAAAAGTTTCTACACATAAAAATTAAATTTTACCATATCGATAAATTACAAAGGATTTAATGGGTTTGTAAGGCCAGTTCAACATTAATCATTATATGAGTTAGCTAAGCTTTATTGGGTTGGGTTTTTGGGCCTAGATGGCCAAACCTCCTCTCCCATACACAATGACCGACCCGTCTCCCTAGCCTCCATGGACATCGGCCTCCTCACCCTTGACACGAAATATGGCTCTCAAAAACTAAGTCTGGAAACAAGGCGGGCTTAGTACTAAGACACTAGGGGGCACCAAGCCAAAAATTTGGCTTAAGTATGGAGCCAATAGGATAACAAAACAACAAGGCAGGCTTGGTACCAAGACATGAAATTTGGCTAAGTGTGGAGCCAAGAGGGTACCAAGACGACAAGACAAGTTTGGTACCAAGACATGAAATTTGGTTAAGTATGGAACCAAGATGGCACCAAATCAGCAGGGTAGGCTTGGTACCAAGATAGGAAATTTGACCAAGTCTGGATACCAAGCTGACAAGACTGGCTTGGCCAGGAAATAGGATACCAAGCCGAGTATCAATTAAGAGATTCATACATAAAATAAGTATGGAGATCAAGCCGACAAGACAACTTTGGTATCAAGTTACCAAACAAGCCTATATGGCCTCAAAAAAGACAACTTTGGTGTTTAGTTTTCGATGAGAGAAATCTTTCATTTTTGCTCTCATATATGTCGATGACGTGATCTTGAAAAGTGATGATTTATCTATATTCAACGGGTCAAAGAGTTCCTTGACCAATAGTTTAGCATCAAGGATTTGGGCACCCTAAAGTACTTCTTGGGCATTGAAGTTGCTCGCTCGCCAAAGGGTTTGGTCCTCTCTCAACGGAAGTACGTTTTTTACCTTCTGAAAGATGCTGGTATGCAGGGGGTGAAACCATTCTCGTTCTCTATCGAGCAAAACCATAATTAACTTGCTTGGAAGGCCCTGCTGCTGCTGACTAGAGATGGCAATTAGGATCCAAATCCATGAATCCAATCCAATCCATCCACCTAATCCAATCCATTTAAATCCAATCCATTTGATCCACATCCAATTGGATTGGTAGATTCATGGATCAATCCATGGATCCAAATGGCAAATTACAATTTGGTACCTATATTTTTTATATTTTACATTTTGGTACCTAAATTGTATATTTTTATACGAAAAATATCATTGGAAAATTACATTTTGGTACCTAATAATTTTCATTATGACATTTTAGTACCAAAACTTTTCAAATTTTACATTTTGGTCCAAGCCTTGAATGTCATTTGGATTCATGGATCAATCCACCAATCCATTCGATCCAATCCATGAATCCACCAATCCATTAGATCCAATCCATTTGATCCATGGATCCACCAATCCAATCCACGAATCCGATCCAATTGCCACCTCTACTGCTGACCCACTAGCTTATAGGCGCCTAGTTGGCTGCCTTCTGTATCTCACAATGACACGACCAGATATAACTTACCCGCCAACATCCTGAGTAGAGTAGTTCATTCGCCTCGCCAGGACCATGTAGATGTAGTGCACCGTATTCTTCCCTACATAAAAGGAGCTCCTGGAAAAGGTATGTTTCTTCCCGTCAGTGGTTCCTTAACTCTTATTGCTTATTATGATGCAGACTGGGGATGGTGTCATCAGACTCGACGTTCTACTTCAGGCTACTTTGTCATCCTCACTCACAGTCCAGTTTCATGGCGTATGAAGAAACATTCTATTGTTTCCCGGTCTTCTGCAGAGGTTGAGTACCACGCTATGGCTCACACAGTTAGCGAGCTCATCCAGCTCTAGTGGATTTTGCTTGATATCGGCCTTCACATACATGGTTCTACTCCGTTATGCCACGACAACCAGGCGGCTCTGCATATATCCACCAACCATGTCTTACATGAACACACCAAGCATGTCAAGATGGACTATCGTTTTGCTCGACATCAAGTCAAATCTGGCGAAGTGGCTCCTATAAAGATCTCGGCTCAACATTAGGTGGCCGATGTCTTCACCAAAGGACCTGGATCGGAGCAATTCGATTACCTCTCGTCCAAGCTTGTCCTTCACGACGTTCATGCCTCCACTTGAGGGGGAGTGTTGTGAGACACCAGCTCACAGGACCACATTACCAGGTCTTATTATTCTAAGGAGTCTTGGCATGAGTATATATATACATATGTATGTTGTAAACAAAATATAACGGAGAAATAAAACCTAAAGCTAGAAAGCTTGAGTTTTTCCATGGAGTAGTCTCGTTCACATTGAATGAGGAAACGACATAAACTTTCGCGTTGTGTGATTGGTTTTGCTATTTTCTACATCCCAAGGGCTCTATTTGAACTCATCCGTAGTATAGTTGTTCTTATCTCATCCGGAGATACTGACCTGCAAACCTCAAAAGTCTCAGAAGTAGGGAGATGATGTAAAAGCAAGGACCTGTAAAATCTACTGCCATTTTTCCAATTTCCTCAATGTCAGTTATCACAGTTCCATCATCCCTTTTGAGTAGGAAGATGTTATTCCTATGCGCCTTATGTTCAGTGGCTGGTGAAAATATCTCATGTTTAGATCTCCTTCCAATACAGCCTGAACTCTTACTTTTTGCTTATAGAATGCTTTTCTCAACTTGTTGAAAGACACTACATTGCATTACACATTTTGTCTCCTTTGCAAAAGAAGAAGATGAATTGGATAATGCAATCCTTTCTGAGGGATTTTTGTACATGGAAAGAGTGAATCAATAAACCACAATGATCTGAAACAGTGTCAAGGATGGTTGCATGTACTAGGCAAACTATTTGGCAATTGAGGGATTTTTGTACATGGAAAGAGTGAATCAATAAACCACAATGATCTAAAACAGTGTCAAGGATGGTTGCATGTACTAGGCAAACTATTTGGCAACCGAGAGAACCAATCTCCATTTACAAAGACCATATCTTTCTTTCTTGCAATAGGGTTATTTTTCTGCTTATTCACCCATGTAAACCTCTCTACAACATGTTATGTTTAGTTAGTTGTAGGGCTGTCCATTTGGTTTTGATTTTTTGGTTTTAACCAAAACCAAATCAATTGGAAAGATAATGGTTTTAGTTTTTCGGTTTTAAACTAATAAGCAACTTAATGGTTTTGGTTTGGTTAAAACCGAAAAACCAATAGAAACCATTAAGAAACCAATAAGAATAAAATTATTTATCAACAAATAATTTTTTTTGTTTCTTTTGACACGCATGCCAACCAATGATTTGTAATGGTCATTTACCATTATTACGACGTTTATTCAATAAAAATGAGGGAAATGATAATAAATATTAGTGTATGAGTACATGTTGGTTTTTTTATTATCCAAACCAAAACCATTAAAGCACTTATTGGTTTTTGGCAATCGAAAACCAGTACTCGTAGTATAACACAATACTACTCGTATTACACATATTCTAATAGGTGAATGGCGGCTTTCTACAAAGGAAGCTTGATTGGCTGAATAGAGTGTTGTGCGATGTCAAAACTTTCTGGGTAACAATTCATAGCTGCAATTATGAATGATTAGGTGATTTTGTACATTTTTTTGGTTGATTTAGCGACGATGTGCTCTTTGTAGCAGTCGTTTGTAATTTTTCTCTTGATCATTCACTATTTGTGAATAATTAATTATTTTGAAGTGATACAATACTTTTCTCCGTGCTGTCAAAATTCATAAAGCTTAGCGTCGAAAGAGAAAATTCATATAATTAAGCTTAAGTTTGATCAATTGTGAGCTTAGTTTAATCATTACACCTCGCCACTTCTATTTTCTACACATCACTACAAAGAAAAAAATAATAAATAAACATTACAAAAGAAAGAAACATTATCCACCAACTAGCCAAAAGAATTTGCAAAACTGGAAAATAGAGTAGTAGAGTACAATAAACAAGATCCACATCAGCAGCCGCTCTGGATCCGACTCACCAATAATAATGATGATTGTACCCACCACCATTACCTTCATAATTAGTAGTGTTACTGTAATTGGCAGCAACAGTAGTATCACTACTCTCCGTCGATATGGCCAGGATTTCGTCCAAGTACTCTGCCCCCAAATCCTCCAACACCACCATCCCTTCCACCTCCTCCGCCGCCGCCGCCGCCGCCGCAGCCTTCCCTCTCTTCCTCCGCCCGCTCTCCGCCTTCCTGTTGGCCGAGTGCCGCTTCTTCAGCGCCAGCACCGGCGACGGCCCTTCCCCGCCGTGCGAGTACCCCATCTCCTGGAGCGACCGCCGCGCCGTCTCCGCCGGGAAATTGAGCACCGCCATGTTCCCGCGCAGGGCGAATGCGGCCTGGTCGTAGGCCAGGGCGGCCTCCTCGGCGGTGTCGAACGTCCCCAGCCACACCCGGACGCCGTTCCTCGTCGAGTCCCTGATCTCCGCCGCGTACTTCCCCCACGGCCTCTTCCTCACTCCCCTGTAGGCGACCTCCTCGTCGGGCGACGACGACAGCTGCTGCTGCTCGTCCGCCGTCGAGGAGCACGCTTCTTCGCCGCCGGAGCTGGCCGGAGACGCGGTGGTGGCCTGGCTGATGACCCCGTAGAGGAGCATTTCCTCGGTGTCGTTCTCGTTGAAGGGGAGGTAATTATTGTAGTTGGAGTATTGGGAGGAATATTCCGATGTGTTTTGGTAAAATTGGTGGAAAGAAGCATGGTCATCCATCTTTTTTGTACGTATAGTACGTGATTGATTGTTGGCCGCAAAATTCGAACCGGATCACGAATGTTGTATTTTTTTTGTCGGGGGGGAGTATGGGAGTTTGGGTTGATGAGTTGGAGGTTGTGGGAAAACAGGGGATATATAGGGAGGGAAATTTGTGTTCAAAAATAAGAGGACCAAGTGGAATAAATTAATTAATGTGTTATTTGGGTGGAAATAGAATAGAGGGATTGATTAATGAAGATGAGATGATGATAGGGAGGGTGAAATAGAGGGATGGATTAATTGAATCATGCTGTAGATGTAATAGTGGGCATATATATTAATAATGTTGGGGGGGAAATGCGGGGCCAGGGGAGAGGTGGAGTTATTTAATGCACGTGGGTCAAACGGACATTATTAGTATTGGGCATGGCGGCTAAGTCAAATAGGAATTCTTCGGACCGGTACTGATGATGTCAGCTTTGATGATTTCATTTCTGTTCTCTCACAGTATGATAGAACTAACCATATTCATCATATACTTCAGTAAAAAATTGGGATTATGTAATTTTAGTCTTTTTTACGGTATCATATTGACGGTTCGATTGAGATTTTTTTTTTTTTTGGAGTTTAAATTGGTATGCGATTTTTAGCTATAAGACATGCCGAGTCATGATTTCAATACAAAATACTATATCTCTGACTTTTCCGCTACAACCTCTGGTACAGTTTCACCATCCTTAAATTTTGCTACTAAGTTAGTTACCATCGATCGACAATATGTTTTTATCATGGTTGCCAGTGTTATATCATTCGGTATAATCAGGTTCGACCCATCAGTCATAAACCGATTGGAATATCCCCAATATGAAGTAGTAGTCAAAGCCAATCAATACCAGTCAAAACCGGAAAAATCGGTATTCCAACCAAGATGAAAATTTCAAGCCCATAAACAACATGACACGTTTTGCTGTATTTAATTAACAAAATATAATTGTCTATTTTTTATTTATCAAATGGATGCAATCGCATCCTACCTTTCATTCAAAACCACTCTGGGCTCGGAGAGCCCCCGAATAAAATTGTGTATTTAAATATGAGGATTTGTCATTTATTTCTAATGTGGTATTTTATTTAATATGGCGAAGTATGGAGCCAAGATGGCACCAAGTCAGCGGGTAGGTGTTATAAACGCGCTGCTACGGATCGAGAAATCGCCGGAATCGATAAAGCAAGAGTACGAAAGCGAGAATCGAAAAAACACAGACACACGATTTACGTGGTTCATGAAGTAGTTAAGAACCTCTCACTGAATTTTCATAGGTGTTAGTGTAACCATTAAACATTCTCGCTCAAACTTCTTTGGACAGAATTTCAGGTGAATTTACATTGTTCATGCACGAAAGCTTCCGTTGATGGAAACAGTTAGTGAATGGTCAGTTAAACGTTACTGGTAATTAAGTTACCATGTATGCTATGGAAACCAAAAAGTTTAGCGGAACGAGTTCAAAATTTTATGGAATGTTCCAAAGTCAGCTCTCCGCTGTGGCTGTGCAGATTCTTGTAGTGGTTAAGCGATTACCAGTTTGGCACTGAAGTCTCATCCGAATGACTTGGAAATCGGCCATTTGCTATGAGAGGCGCTTAAGTTCAATTCAATGCCTGCCAGTTATGATTACAAGGGAAGGAATTCCAAGTTTTTGAATTTTGACTAAGCAATTATTGCATTCAAGGGTCTTCCATTACTCTGCATTATTAGTTTCTTGAAACCAAAGACTAGGAACAGTTTTATTTCAGCTTCAGTCATAGATTTGAGGTTGCCAATGTTTGTTGTTGTATGGATTGGCACTCGAGGATCCTTATAAAGTACTTCTATAGTGAGAGGTACTGCGTTGCGTTTGGATAAGTGTATTTTAAATGTAAGATATTTGAAATATTAGCATTTGAAATGGATGTATTTGAAGTATTAGCATTTGAAATACATGTAATTCAAATTCATTGTTTGGATACTCATTTGTAATTTGTTTGTATTTTTGTATTTTTTATTTTCAATTTCAATTTTTAATTTACGGGTCACTTACTACAAATTTTGGTAAATTACAGTTTGGTACCCGAAATTATTTTTTCTTACAATTTAGTACCTAAACTTTTAAAATTTTACAAAAAGGTCCTGAAATTTTGATGGTAAAATTACATTTTGGTACCTTTATATGTTTTTCCTCACACTATAGTACCTAAACTTTTCATATTTTACAAATAAGTCCATTCTTTTGTTAGGAGGTATTTCAAATCACTAGTTGTTGAAATGTATTTGAAGTTGACAAAAAATACACTGGACATGTATTTGGAAATCACCCCATGAATTTGACACAAATCCAAATACCAAATGTAATTAATATCCAAACACATGATTTGGTATTTGAAAATCCAAATCACAAATACCAAATCCAAATCCTTGTATCCAAACGCACCCTAAATGATTTTTATTGTTTTCTTAATGGAGTATCTATTGTTGTAATACAATTTTATGGGGTGTAACTGGTGTGCAGTATGGTCAAGAAACGAGCAAATGCAATGCGTAACAAGCAAGAACGAACCTAGGAGTTTAGTTAAGGAGGGCCCGTAAAAAAAATTAAAGTAAAAAATTAATATTAAAATAATCATAATGTGTTAGGATTTAATCATATATTCATTCTTTGATATCTTTAAAATTATCCAAAATATGGTCTAAATTAAAGGTCTATTAGAATAATTCTCCTTCAACATGAATTATATATATTATGATTTAAAATTCAAACATGCCTACATCTGTATGAATTGAAAATAAATAAATACAACAAGAGGAATTCAATTGCCAATGGAGCATGGAGGCATTGGTGGAAAAGAAGTTCAATCACCGAACATAATCAACATCTCTAAATTTTTAAAAAATTAGTGATGAAAAGACAAAATGAAATGTAAAGACATACTCAAATAAGAAAGTTTGGTACCAAATTGTCAGACTTGTAAATTTTGAGATAAGACATGCCAAACAATGGTATAAATTAAAGTTTCATAATAATCGTCGTTCGACATGAATTTTATTAGGGATGGTAATAGTTCGGGTCGGGGACGGATAGAGCATATCCATTACCCTATCTAAAGCAGTGGCGGATCCAGGGCTGGGCCAACCCAGGCCCCGGCCCAGCCCTCATCCGATCCAGAGTTAGTTTAGTGCTTATAAATTTTTTCGATTTAGGTATTTGGCCCAGTGCTAGTTAAAATCCTGTCTAGTTTTATTTGATAATAGAATTTTGTATAACTAGGAAAATGGTTCAGATGAACATATCCAAACCATCACTCTAAATTTATACTAAATTTTCTATACCCCAAATAATTTTATTTGAAAAAAGACATGAAAACCTAAAAGTGTAAAGTTTCATTAAAATAAAATAAAAAAATCTAAACTAAAGCACACCCTTCCTTGCAAAATTCAAAAAATTTCCCAATCCCCCGAAAACAAAACAAGAACGAGGAGACGGGCAGACCCAAAATGGATTTCTCCGCCAGCCCGTCGAGCTGGTTTTCTTTCCATTATTTAGATTAAGAAAATATTTACAAACTTGCTGAGTTATCATTTAAATTGCCTCAATTGAGTGGGCACTAGATTCTAACCGTTCTTTCTGGTGTTTTGATGAAGAAAATATTTACAAACTTGCTCAAGAGTTTAGCCTCGAGATTTTGAAGGCTATGAGATGCATTCTTTGGAGAATGCACTACTCATGTGAGGAAGATGAAGTTTCTTCTCTTGCAAAATTATTAGAGAAGCCGGAGGAAACAGGGATGGACACACAATACAAATTGGTTTGTCGGTTGATTTGTCTAGTGTTGACCTATCCGTTTCAACAACTACCATGGAGAGAATATTTTCAGCAATGGAACATGAACATTGATTTGTGCAACAAAATGAGCGATGCATTTCTCTTTGATTACTTAGCTATTTTCTTTGAAAAAGAGTATTATCAGTATGGATGGAGATTATATTATTGATGAATTTGTTAAATTAAGAGATCTTCTTGTACAATTGGCATTGTAATGAAAACTATAAAATTATATATTTTTGTTTATGGTATCTAATATTCTATTCAAATGTGGCCCAGTGCTCTCGTATGTCCTGGATCCGCCGCTGATCCAAAGTAGTTCGGGTTTTACTCATACCCATACCCACATAAGAAACGGGTAGAAAATCAAAACCATGCCCATACCTGTTCGTCTTTTGGGTATTCACGGTTATCCATGGATAATAGTTTCTCCTTATAACTCCAACCAATATGTTAATATTTACATGTATTCTCGCATTACATAAGACAAAAATTACGACAATAATTCACTAAAATGCAGAAAATTCATTAAACAACACAATTTTATGAAAAAATTATATTTATATGCTAAATATAAAATATGTTGGAGAAAAATGATGATTTTTTGTAGGAAAAATGCATATGGATGTGTATATCGGGCGGGTTCGGGTTGGATAGTGAGAAAACCATGTCCACCCATTACTCGCAATATTCGGGTTCGGGTTTTACCCGTACCCGCTAAAAGTCGTTCGGTTCGAGTTTTACCCTACCCAACAAGATCGGATTCGGGCGGATATCTACGGTTACAGATATTTTTTGTCATCTCTAAATTTTATATATGACATGTTTTTAATTAGTAGAAAAAATAATACCTGATATATAATTAAAAATATCTCTGTATGAATTCCAAACAAAATAAAACAAGTTCTCAATAAAGAATATATGCATTGCTGAAAAAGAACTATAAAAAATAGCTCAAAACTTAAGAAAATTAAGGATTGAAAAGCCAAAATAATTTTAAAAGTGAACAAAATGAGTAAGTTTAGTATCAATTATAAGACTTGAAAATTTTGGCAGTAAATTACGAAAAAAATGTAAAATCTACAAATATATTATAGCAGAGTTGGTAACAATTTTCAGCGTTTCAAATTCCTGTAACGAGAGTGAAAGTTGGACTGGAGT